TTATTATTATTATTATTATTATTATTATTATTATTATTATTATTATTATTATTATTATTATTATTATTATTATAGAATTATTAGAATTATTAGAATTATTAAAATAATTAGAATTATTAAAATTAGTAAAAAATAAGATCGTTGGTTCCTTGGTGTACAAAAATAAAAAAAATACCATTAAGATTAGATTAGACATGAACCTGGTTCATAACTAGCCAACAAATTCATTCTCTGATTTTTTTCTAAACTCAATGGGGGATCATCTAATACTTTAACCATTATTCCTTCACACCCCATCTCTGTAGAATTTTTAAAGAACTCTTGAATTTCTTCGGGATCCGATGATTCTATTTGTTTTACGAATTCAAAATAATTTGGTATTTGTAAGAAATTATTACGTAAAAGTTCAAGTCGATGACGAAGTGAGGATTTTAATAGAGGCTTTGTTAATTAAAAAAAAAAAAGGGATAATAAAATTAAAAATTAAAATTAAAAATTAAAATTAAAAATTAAGTCAAAAATTAAAAAAAAAAAAAAAAAAAAATACCTCGCCATTGAGATACATTAAATCAAAAACAAAAATGCAAACGCGAACAGAAATTGATGACAATTTGACATTCTTCCTTGAACGATTTGATAATGCTTGAAAATTCTGTAGATTTCCATCTTCATCAATGGCTACTACTTCACTATCCATGATGAAAGAATTTACATTTTTATTTCGAATTTTAGGAATTATTTGAACTATATCTGGAAATTTCTCCGTCATGTTCTTAATTAATTAAAAGAAAAAAGTGGATTTAATTATTATTATGCGACATGAGAGATATAAGAGAGAATAAAGTAATATAATATATTATATTATACCTCCAGGTGACGACTAAATATTGACACGACACCATTAGAATCCATGTGAATTTGAGCACGTTGACCGTCATATTTGTATTCACAATTAAAAGGTTTACCCTCTAACTTTTTAAATATTTGAGGTAAATCTTGAGTCATTTTACTCAACATTGGTCGGAGAGGAACACCAATCGTCAAATGACAAACATCCAATAATTTATCTATGGGATGTTCTAATAAACACTTGATGATATCATTGAAATTTGGAAATTGAGCATAACATTCTTTTAATAATTTTTCTGCTTCTTTTAATTTCTTTTCTATTTCAACTTTGGAATCTTTTTTCGGATCAATTTTAAATTTATCACTTTCCATAATATCAGATGAACTGGATGTTCCAGGTGATGATAATGGTTTAGTGAGACAAAATGCTCGAGCGAGAGAAATCATAGAAGTCGTTCTTACTGCACCAATTCTTAAATTTTGTATTAAAGTTCTAGTCAAATATCTAATTTCCTCACCTTTACATGATACCAATAATTTTGTAACTAAATTAGTTTTTTGTTTTACTGTTCCGGAACCTTTTAATTTTGATATTGAACAAAGGGTATTATATACATCATCAATAGTTAAAGGTGTTGGATCAATTATAGTTCGTACAGAAACTTTAGCAGCATAAGCCACATCACCCCAATCACCATATCGATCATAATATTTTTTTAATTTTTGGGAAGAACATCCTGATATTTCAGAAATAGCTTTAGTTAAAATATTTGATCCAATTCCTAATTCCATTCCTTCATAAGAAGGAGCTATTGAATTTGATGAAAGCCAAAATGCAGGTAAAACACTCTTAGGATCATGTAAAATTATAGTCCGTAACATATTTGTTAAATAATTGATAATCTTAATTCTACTTTTTGTATTAGCAACTAAAGAAAATGTATCAATTAAAAAACTATAAGGCACTTTTGAATTGTTGTTCCATTTGAATTTAATTGGATCAAATTCCAAAATGTCTTTGTCAATTGACATAATAGTATTATTATTAATATTATTATTAATATTATTATTATTGTTATTATTGTTATTATTATTATTATTATTATTATTATTAGAAACACTAGTAGCCTTTAAGATAGGTAATTCATTATTCTTGAAAACTGATTTTCCTTTCATTTTTTCTGATGTATTATTAGTATTATTAATAGTATTATTAGAATTAGCATTATCTAAATTTGAATCTTCCAACTTTGAATCATTCACAGACTTTCTTTTCTTTTTTTCAACCTTATCAGCATTATCACTATCGTCAACCTCGTCAACCTCGTCAACCTCGTCAACCTTGTCAGAAATGCTTCGCTTATTTTTGGTTTCCAAAATAGCGCGTTCCTTTTTTACCACCTGTACATTTTTTTTAGTGTTTTTGGTGTTGGTATTAGAAATTTCCGTTTTTGTCGTTTTTGTGGCAAAAGTAGCTACACTCTCAACATTATTGACATTATTATTTTGTTTATTAAAGTAAAATTCTAAACTATATTGTTCTTTAACCTTTTTATTATTATTTGTCGCGGATAATTTTTGGGAGTTGATTAACTTTCTTTTCATGATATTATTTAATAATCCAGTAAAGAATCTAAGATGATTTGCACGTGTTGTATGCATAAGAGATTAAAAAAGAACAAAAAAAGCGAATAAACGATGATCATATATTTCTAAAAAAAAAAAAAAAAAAAAAAAATTACATTTTTGTCGAGAATACTTCGAGAATTATTAAAATTTTTTACTTTAAAATTTGAGATATTTAATCTTTGACGAATTAAAAATGAATTATCACATGACAATTTTATAAATAATTGTAATAATTACACAATCATCTACATTAAAATAATATTAAATATCATTATATATCATTAATTAACATTAAATAATATCTATTGGAATTATTGGAATATAAAATAAAGTTAAAAAAAATAAAAATAATAAGTTTTAATATTTCAAATCAATTGATTATAAAATAATATTAATAATAAATCATTTTTTACCTGTTAATAATTTATTAAGTTTAGCAATTCTAGAAGCAACAGATAAATCAATAGTTTTATCTTCACCAAGTTCAATCATCAAACCACCTAGAATTGAGGGATTCACCTAATAATAATATAAATATAATGAATAAATATAGAATAAGATATATATATATATGAATATGATAAATATGATAAACAAACCTTGTTAGAAATCAAAAGTTTATGGGATGAATCAAAAAGTTTGCTTTTATTAAGCGCTGCTTTTAATTGTGTTACAGTCTTTTGATCAAGTTCCTAAATTATTAAAATATTAAAATATTATAAAATTATTAGAATATTATAAAATTATTAAAATATTAAAATATTATAAAATTATAAAATTATTAAAATATTAAAATATTATAAATAAAATTATTAAAATATTAAAATTATAAAAATTATAAAAATTATTAAAATATTAAAATATTATTAAAATATTATTAAAAATATTTAATTACCTTTGCGGATGTGATCGTAACAGGAATTTCACCACGATGAGCAGTCATCAATGATATATAGGCATCAATAATCTTCGAAGACTCGTTAAGTCTTCCATTGTCAGCCAATAAATCAAACAGATTTTTGGTGGTATCACAATACTTCCCTTGTTTAAGAAGCTCTTGAACAGTACGTTTCTTATCATTTCGATTTAAAGAAGGATCTTCAAGTAAAGCACGAATTTTACTATCCTTGTTAATTACTAATTTTATTTGTTTAAGTTCATTCTCAACATTGGAAAGAGTATTTGACTTGGTGGCTGCTGTGTATAAAGCAGTTGCATATCGACCTTCGATACCATGAAGTGTTATGGGAGGCTGAGAAAAAAAAAAATAATAATTAAAATAATAAAATAATTTTTAATTATAATTATAGTTAAATAATTGTAGTAGTTGAAAATAATAATAATAATAATGTTATTATTATTATTTATAATTAATAATATTTAATAATTTACCTTAACAGATTTCGCGGGAGCCGCAAAATTTCGAACCAACTAAAAAAAAAAAAATGCAATTGTAAAATATAAAATATTTTATTTGACTAATTCTATTCATTAAAAATTCACTTACAAATGTACCTTTGGTAAGGATATAACCGTTTTTCGAGTTAAATTAGTTAAATTCAATAGAGACATTGTTTTTTTACAAAGGTATTCGATAAAGTATATGCAGTATTCGGATGTGATGTGTACACTAGATTCTTGTAGATCATAAATTATTTTTTCAGATATCGATTATTTGATTTGTCGTTGTGCGGAATATCGAAAATATGAAAATATTATCTGGAAGTAATAACGTGCTATCAAACTTTAGGAAATCAAGATATAAATTATCATCAAAAGCAAGGCAATTAAATTTATTATCCATTACTGAGGTGAGAATTTCTCTTAACTGTAACTTTCACATTACTAAACTTTCCACTTTCCGTAATACTAAAATTTCTATAATCCTAATAATAGGCCAATAAACTCTTAAGAGAAAAAAAATTATTACCAACAACGTTAGTTCAAGATTGTTTATCACGTTTAAAGAAATATAATGCTCAAGTGAATGCGTTTATAGAGGTACAAAAGGAAGAAGTGATATTGCAAAAAGCAAGAGAAGCAGAAAATAGAATTAATGAAGGTTTAAAGAAATTCCTTTGATAGATATATATGTATTATATTAATAATAAATATTAATAAATTAATAAATGTTAATAAATATTTTTTAATGATACATAAATAATATAGGAATAAATAATAAGTCATTAGATGGAATACCTATAGCATATAAAGATAATTTTTGTACTCAAGATTTAACCACTACTTGTGGATCAAACATGTTAAGAAGTATAAGAAATTATTTATTTATAATAATAATTAATAATTTATAATATAACAATTTATAATATAAATAGTAATATAATAAGAATATGATTTATAATTTAGATTTCACATCACCATTTAATGCTACAGTTGTGGAATTACTTCGAGATGCTGGATCCATAATTATTGGAAAAACGAATATGGATGAATATGGAATGGGGTAGATAATATGTAATAATATGATGTGTAATATAAAATAATGTGTAATATAATAATGTGTAATAATAATAATAATAATAATAATAATAATAATAATTATTATTATTATTATTATTGTTATTATTACAATAATTCATATTATTATAATAATTCATATTATTAGTTCAGCAAATTTATATAGTGCATTTGGACCAGTATATAATCCACATAAGATAATATCAGATCAAGAATCAAATATTGATAAATATGAAAAACGTGTTGCTGGTGGAAGTTCTGGTGGAAGTGCTGCTGCAGTGGCATCCGGAATGTGTTTTGCGTAAGTTTGACTATTTCATCCAATCAATTGCTATAAATTTATTATACTTTCATTATAATTCATTATATATTTATTTATTTATTCTTATTTTATTTATTAAAGGGCACTTGGATCGGATACTGGAGGATCAGTTCGTCTTCCTGCTTCATATTGTGGTGTAATAGGATTTAAACCTTCCTATGGTTTATGTTCTAGATGGGGTTTAATTGCTTATGCCAATTCCTTTGACACTGTAGGAATAATAACAAGAACAGTTGACGATTCTCAATTAATCTTTGGTTAATTATTATTATTTATTATTCATTATTTATTATTTATTTTATTTTACTATTTATTTATTATTTTTATTTATTTTATTTTATTTTACAAATTAATAGATGTCATATCAAAATATGATGAAAAGGATTCAACTTCACTTTCTCCAAAATTACGTGCATTTAATTCTTTAATATCTCGTAATTCCCCATTAAATAAGAATAATCCTTTAGATCTTGGTGGATTACGTGTTGGTGTACCCAAAGTAATAAAATAACTTATAATTTATATTTAGTATTTATTTCCAATATATATATAATATATATATATATATATTTATTTATTTATTTATACAATTTCCAATTTAAATTTTATTAGGAATATATGGTTTCAGAATTAAGTGAACCAATTATAAAATTATGGAGAAAAGGGATTTCATTTCTTAAATCTCAAGGAGCAAAAATAATTTCGGTATCATGTCAAAATACAAAATATGCATTATCCACTTATTATATTTTAGCACCAGCTGAAGCTTCATCAAATTTAGCACGTTATGATGGAGTTCGATATGGTAAAATTAGATTATTCTATTCTATTCTATTTATTATTATATAATATATTATAGATATATTATTCTATTTTATTTATTTATAATATAATTTATTGTTAATTGTTAATACAAATTGTTCAGGATATCAAAGTGAAAAGGATTCATCTCAATTAATTAATGATAATGATAATGATAATGAAGATACTGGATTACTTTATGCAAATACACGTGATGAAGGGTTTGGTATAGAGGTTAAAAGAAGAATAATGCTAGGAACCTTCACATTAACTACTGGGTAATTTGATTCTTTTATTTTTTTTAATTATTTTTTAATCTAATCTAATCTAATCTAATCTAATTTATTTTTGTTTAATAATAATAATAATAAGGTCATATGAAAATTATTATCTTCGAGCTCAAAAAATTCGTAAATTAATTCAATTAGATTTTAATAAAGTATTTCGTCGACAAAATCCTCTTCAATATTTTCAATATTATATAAATCAAAATAATAATAATAATAATAATAATAATAGTAGTAGTAGTAATAATAGCAATAATAATTTTTATAAAGAAGAAGGAGTAGATGTTTTAATTACACCTGTAACAATTTCTATTTCACCAAAAATTTCTGATTATAACAATGATAATTTTTTGAATTTTTATGTAAATGATATATTTACTATTCCTGCAAATTTAGTGGGTAATTATTTTTGCTAATTATATTATTTATTATATTATTTATTATACAATTATTATGTTATTTTTATTAATTTTATTTATATTATTTTAATTATTGTTTTTTTTTCTTTTTTTTTTATAGGAATTCCAGCAATTAGTATTCCTTTTGGAAAATTACATGATTATCCTATTGGATTACAATTAATGTCACAATATGGTGATGATTTGACTTTATTCAAAGTAGCAAAAATATTAGAACAAATGTAATACTGTAATAATATAATTATTTTTATAACATTTTAATTTGATTTACTGAGGTATATAATTTTTATTTCTTATTGCATTAAGTATAATAAAAAAGTATTATTGAAATATATATATATGTAAATTTTTTCAATTTTAATAGCTAAACAAGTTTCAGTTTGACATTTATGAATTATTCAGGATTCTGGATATTTTCTTTATTTATACAATACAGTTTTTTTTGGTTTCAAATTTTTTATTATTAATTTTTATATATAATCACTATTACCATCAATTTTATATCATATTGTATAATATTTCAGTCATTTCCCATGACCTGTTCCCAGACTTCTTACAAGAAATTGCAAAGATCCTAGATAACACAGTGAAAGATTTTGATATGCTCATTCAAGTAGGGCAGACATCAAATATAAGAGAGTTTCAAGTAATCTTGTAATTGCTATTGTTGATTTTCTTGTAATGATGTTGACATTAGTTCTTTTATTTTTTTTTCTTAAATTATAATTACTAATTGTACCATATAATAATGATTTTGCATAATTTAATTGGTTGGATATTAAAAAATTATCACATAAGATCAGGATTTATATAATCAAAAAAATAGGGACATAATTCCATATTAATATTTGTATTTTAAGATTCTTATTCTTTTTTTTTTAAACAGGAACAGTGGAATCTTGTTTTTATTCATTTATAACTTGAAATTAATATATGAAACCATTAAATTATACTGGTGGTGTTGAGCACCACATCACATGATCATATATAATCATGTACTACTTATGACAGTATTTATAAATACATGTCAATTATTTTGCTTTAAAAAGTAAATATGTAATGAAATGATCAATGTGTCATACTTGTTTTATGTCATGCATAATATGAAATCTCTTTTTTGTACTATATCTCAATCTTCTTCTTCCTCTTCAGCTCACAATATTTTTTCCAATAATATTCCTGAAAACTAGGATAACTCTCTTGAAGTGCTGTTGAAAGAAACACATAAAGTACTATTAGAATTATACATGTTTCCAAAATTAATTTTGGATTTTTGAGATATTTTGACTTTTTGAGATTTATACAAAATTTATTCTTTATATGGAAGTAAAAAAGTACTCACATTAGGAAATTTTTTTTAATGAAAACCTTCGAAAGTTAACATTAACATAAGTATTTTACTGTTTTTCAATATGTTATCCTTTGAAGGTCTTCACTAACCTTTGAAGATTATTGATTTTGATATTTTCACATGGCAAAATTTCACGAATATTATCATTTTCATAGTAAATTCATATCGATAACCTTTGAAGGTTATTGATTTTGATATCTTCATGTGTAAAATTTTGCAAATATTATTATTTTCATAGTAATTTCATATCAATAACCTTCGTTTATGTTAGATATTCATAATATATTATTTTGATGGTCATTACTTACATTTGTATTACTGCGATTTTTAATTGACATTACACTGTCAATAATATTCTTCAAAGTTTATCGCAGCAATTTTAATTGACATTGTATTGTTAGCAATGTCTTTCGCAGCAATTTTAATTGATATTACACTGTCAACAATATCCTTTAAAGTTTATCACAGCAATTTTAATTGACATTACACTGTCAATGATATTCTTTAAAGTTTATTGCAACAATTTTAATTGACATTGTATTGTTAACAATGTCTTTCAAAGTTTATCACAGTAATTTTAATCAATATTGCATTGTTAACAATATCCTTTGAAGTTTATTATAACAAAATTGTATTGTAGTAGTATGTTTATGAGAGAATTGGGACAGAAAACCTATCTGCAATATGTATAGCATTTTACTTTTTTCGCTACATTGGAAGCCTTTTTTCTTATACCGATTTTTATACTATTTTGCTTAATTTTTTTCTCGCCACATTCGAATGAGGTACGATTTATTTTTTTGGCCACATCTTTATATTACTATTCTGCTTGCTATAAAAAAAAAGTCCCGAAGGTGAAGGACTTTAGTCCTGAACTTGAACGGGCGTTTCCTCTGCAAGTCTAAATTTAATATCATTTTCTTTACTATTCTAATTCTCTTCTAAACTTTATTTAGTCTTCTGTTACTGTGAAGCATGAATCCCAAAGGGTGAATACGAAACAGCTGCGGAGTGCAGCGGAGCGCAGCGGAGCATAGTTAATATATTAGTTTTCAAAGTTGTTATCAATATAAAATAGCTATGTAAAAAAGACATCAAAATTTTTATCGATATAAATAAGTCTAACCTCTAATAAAAGATTTTTAGTTATTTTGTGCTTCTTTTAGAATAACTAATTTTTACTATCTCTTTTAACGTTCAAATCAATTATTCTTATCATAAAGAATATCAAAAAAATATCAAAAAGTTAGGACAAAGCTCTAACCTCATTATATATATATCGAAAAAAAGTTGGGACAAAGTCTAACCTCATATCTAAAATCGATTATTTTATATCCTAGATTCTATTTCAATATACTTTATATATAAAGTCTAATCTTAATATACATATATATCGAAAAAAAGTTGGGACAAGCTCTAACCTCATATCTAGAATCGATTATTTTATATCCTGAATTCTATTCCAATATACTTTATATATACATATATATCGAAAAAAAGTTGGGACAAAGTCTAACCTCAATATATATCGAAAAAAGTTGGGACAAAGCTCTATCCTCATATCAAGAATCTAATTTTGAAGCCCTACCATGTAATCTTCTATAGCACTGGATCACGTAATACCTTTTAGGATATAGTGAAATAATTATTTAAACAAAAAATTTTATATAAGTAATATATTATAATCAATTATATACTATGACTAGAAAAGATAAAAAAAATACAACATGTGATTGTTGTGGTCACCGTCTTTCATCACCACAAAAACTTTGTCAGCATTATGCTAGTAATAAAAATCCATGCCACTTAGCAGTTCCCTCTCCTAATCAACTACCGCAACTTGATCCAGAAATAGAATATCTCGATGCATTGGGATTATTTGATTCCTCAGAAAT